TAGTACAATAGAAAAATACCCACCCTAAATTTATGTCGATCATTTCCTGATTGTAAACTTTTGTCCACCGAGTGTAGGAGATTACAAGTTTAATCTTGTTATATACTTTTTTCGTGGTTCATCGGGAAAAAATCAAAATCGTCGCCAAAATTGGAAATGGATCTTCGCACAGTCACAATTTAAAATCAAGTTTGATCATTTTTGGCTGCCGATCCCTGAATCCCGAACTCTTCCCTTCAAAGTTAAATTTGTTGTATCAGATCAATAATAATGTCTTCTTTTTCACTTAAGAAGAATTACTATACTGGCGAAGAGAGTGTTTCTTCTATTTCTATACCAGAAGAAAAAACGGGAACAGTGATCGGACGCGGTGGTTCCAATATTAAAAAAATTAGGTTATTTATTGTTGTTTTATTGTTAAATTGCGCGTTGTTTGCCTTTGTATATAAATGAAATGATCACTTTTCGAATAAAAAAGGGAAGCAAGCGGTGCTTCTATTTTCATAAAGGATGGCGTTGCACTGATCAGGGGCACAAACGCGCAACGTACCAAAGCTAAATCATTGATACAAGAAATATTGAGTAAAGAAACGGATCAAGTCTTTCCTGATGTAGGATATTTGCTTTTGGAAATTGATAAAAATTCAATAGATACCAAGCAAAGCAAAATTCGATTCAAAGAATATCGGGGCCAAGACGCGAATTTCCACTCTCGTAATCGTACTACTTATTATGTTGAACATATTACCGCCAGAGAAAATGAAAAGGTAAAAGGAGAATCGTCAGAAAATATTGACGACGATGATGATCTAACATCCGCTATCTCGAAATTACTCGTGTCAAATGGTCTTCCTTCAAACTCTAAATCTTCCCAAGCTTTTAACACTACCGATATAATTCGGCATTGTCTTGGTGACATTAGTACTTTGGTTCACAAATCTGACCCGTCTCATATTGAGACACAAAGTTTCCGACTTAATGTATTCTTTGGTCGACAACTATTTTACAATTTCGGTGAAAAAGAAATAAGCGTTAGTGATTGGTGTGCAATGAATCGCTCTAAAACCAGTACCTCGTTTCAACACAATGCTCCGCGAATTCGTGAAAAGATCGATTTGATCAATAAGAAATACGGGTTTAATTCGGTTGATAAAGAAATTGATGACTCGAAAAAATTTAGTATTTCTATTTACTATGATGCTGAAGAAAATAATAAACGGGATAGGCGTAAGCTCAAGTTACATTGGTTTGAGGAAGAAGGTGAAATAAAGTTTTTTTTTTTTTTTTTTTTTTTTTTTTTTTTTTTTTTTTTTTTTTTTTTTTTTTTTTTTTTTTTTTTTTTTTTTTT